AAAGAAAAAAAGTTCTAGTTAGGCCTGGGTATCATTAAGAAGTTGCCGATACAATACATACCTCGATACATAGGCCATGATACGATATTTTTTAAATCGATTCGATACGGTTCAGTAAAAAATAAAGGCTAAATCTTGTCTGTGATAGTAAAAGTCTTTGTTAAACCACTTCTTGTGCAAAGTTTGTATGAAACACAAACATTTTAATAATCAAATTAGTGAAAATGTCAAATAAACAAATTTCCTTCCTCTAAACAAGCAACAAAACCGTAGAGCTGTAACAAAAATATTTAGAAAACTCTTGGCGATATATTGATACAGCAGCCCACAAAATATCAGTGCTGTATCATCACATTAAATGATATGATATATTGATGTTTTGCTATTTTTGCACTCCCCTAATTCTAGTGAGTTTGGTGCATGTAAAACCACACCACATGGGAAAACAATGCAACAATGAATATATTTCTTTTGCCAAGTTAATATCTCGTTTAATATTCCTTATCTGTAGTAACGTATTACTCATTACATATCACCTTTTCAATCTTGCTTCCTTATGACAGACTTCTAGTAAGACCTGACCACTCTGACCATTCTAATTCTTATAAACCAACACGAGTTTCAGTCACTGGTAACTTCCCCAAAGCCCTCACATACTCAGATGCAGTATTTTTAACCTGTACTTCCAGAGAACTGCCGTAGTAGTAGCAGTAGTTCCTCTTTACGTTAAGCCCGGCCCTGCAGTACTTCGAAGTGCATCTGTGGGCGTGCTTGGTCCTAATATTCGCGTAAAGGGACGGGGCCTTGGAACCTCCCCTGCTTCAGGCTACCTCCAGACATCGTGGTGGTTCATCCTGTCCTTCCAGATGACAGATGAGTAGGAAGCAAAAGTGCACAGTACATCGGAGCGGAAACAACCCAAAGAATGCCCCATTCCTGAGAAAGTACACCATAATTCATCAGTACTGTAAAAGCACAATTAAAGGTCCAATATTACTAGGGATGTAGCATTAACTGAAATATTGTGATATCATATTGTCAAAGTTCTCACAATAATATCGTGGACCATCACAATATATGGAATTACAAGTCTCTTTGCTTAAATTAAGAGTTATGGTGCAGCAACAGCTAAAAAAAAAACTGAGGTAACTACATAGACCATGATCCTTTACTCCATTTCGGTGTAGACTACATGAAGAAATAACAGTTCTAAGCACTTTTAAAGGGCCCATCTCATGCAAAATAACTCTTTTCACATTGTATCTTCTGCACATATACAAGCACAATTTGGGTTTTGGAACATCCATTACACAACAGTTATGAAATCTTACTGATTTCTTGGAGGCAGGCACAGACCAGGAACTATGAAAGACCGACTATTGCTCCTCCGCCCGCTCGTTCTGGGAAAGCACAGGCTCCGACCTCCAAACATGACGTAGACTCTGAGTGAGCCGCAAAGCGCTTTCTGCTACGTCAAACGCGTCATAGGTGTATCTGCCGCGTCATCGTTGTAGCAGCTTTAGTTCGTTGTCGCGTGGGAGGGTGGCAGAAATACGCTGCAATTTGTTTAAAAAAAATGCTTAATCAATCTAAAAACCACTTCAGCGACATATACAAGGCCCACACATCACTCTTAGAAGGTAGAAAGCTCGGAAAAGTTGATTTTGCATGAGATGGGCCCTTTAAGTCTTAGTTCTTTGGATTAAGTCTTGTCAAGACATTTTTTTCAGAAAAGAAAAAGTAGCGTATTAACAGTTTTGTTAGCCTCTACAAAATATCACAATAAATAATCATACCGTGAGATGTATATTGTGAAAATATTGCGTAAATATCATAAGAGATTTGGATATTGTTACATCCCAAATCATGAGCCTCCCCACCATATCTTGAGCTTTCCCACGATATCGCAATAAATATCGTACCGTGATGTTCATACTGTGACAATATCGTATTGTGAGAGTTGGATATTACATGCTGACATATTACACAAAACTGACTCAGAAACGTACTCGTGACTGATGAGTTACCCTTTATTATTAGTCCGTTTGCATCTTCAAAGCTCAAAATGCTCTATTCCACCTTGTGATGTCATGAAGTGGTACTTTTCATGTTAACAGCTACATTTTGCTTTTTGTTCAGTAAAGATTGGCAATTGCAGGGCTGAAATTATCCAAATGATTCTAATTCTAAAGGTGTAAAGAGTTTAAAAACACAGCGAACCACATCAGAAGGTGGAACAAAGTGTTTTCTGTTTGAGAGAAGAACTACATAGAACTACATACGCAGGATTTGTGTGTTAAACATGTTAAAGAAACACAAACTCAACTCCAGGTATAACATAGATCAGAAAATATCACAATATTTTGCTCTTTAAAGGTGCTGTACTCAGTTTTATCATGTAACAATAAAATAAAATGTGTTTTATCCCAGTACAGATATACAGTAAAAGTAGCTCTAGGGTCAAAATGATTCTCCTGTGTTTGTGCTGTGTCTGCTTGAACAAGGAAGTGTGTTGTTATCATGCTAATTGTTGTTGGCATTATTGGTGTGACCTTTGAAAGTGGAGATAAGTGCATAAAAACTCTTTGCAGTGGATAATTTGGATGCAAATCAGTGAGGAATATGTTCACCGCTGCAAGCATTTAAAATGAACTGGTTCTGTTAGTCTTTTTTTTTTTCAATGGCAAAGGTCAAAAGTTTTAGAACATCCTAATTTTTCCAGTTATTTATTGTAATTCAAGTCGTGCAAGTCCAATGAAGAGCTTGAAATGGTACAAAGGTAAGAACTGAACACCCAGAGGTTAAAAAAAAGATAAAAGATACAAAACACAAGTCCAAGCTCTGCCAAAACTACATCAGGAAAAATGAACAAGATGGTAAACTTGAAAACATGGAGTGTCCAGACTTAAAACCCATCGAGCTGGTTTGGGATGAACTGAACAGAAGAGTGAAAATCAAGAAACCTACAAGTGCCACACATTTATGGGAACTTCTGCAACAGACTTGGGAAGAACTTTCTGAAGAATATTTGATTTTCTTATTGTAAGGGGCAGTGGCCCCAATCCAACAGTGGATTACATTTCACCAACCCAAATGCCCTAAACCACCACACAGCTTTTCGGCAAGACACAGTTCACCTCTGCATCACTCATCACAAGGCACTGTTGGACTGAAGGAAAAGTGGACTCTTCCTCACCTCCTATGGGGACTATTATGGCCAAAAAAGACTTCTTGTGTTTGTGTATTATGAAGATTCTAAAGGGGAACACTACAGGTTAAATTTAGAATCTTAATGCAGCCTAACGTCATTGGCTGTACTTTATAAAAGTGTGCAGTTGTTGCTAGTAGCCTTGTTTTTAGATGTGTGTCCGCACACATTGGTAACATGTATAAGGTACTTGCATAAACATTTGAGGAGTGTTTGGGCATTGCATTCACATTCCTGTAAGATTCTCCTATTCCACTGGTGTGACAAACATTCTGCTCTGGATTAGATCCACGTCCTTGCCATCAGTTTTAAGGGTGTAATTGTTTGAATGTACTTCTGGCTTGACCAGATATCACATAGGCATTATATGTAGTTGTTTCCAAAAGTACTTGACTGAACGTTCTTGATCACGTACTATCATGAGTGGACTTGTGTTTACCTTCTCACTCACTTAAGTGAAGTAAACTGTGGGCCGCCACTATCTGCAATGGAGTCATGCGGCTTTTCTCACAGATATGAGGGTATTTAAGAGAGAAACAGAGGTATGCAATCAGTTTTTTCAACACAAAAGCAGCACTATTCTACTTAGTTTTCTAAAAGTGTTTGTCATTATATTTTTGTATTCAAAGTACCAGATGCTTGGTTTGGGCACATCATGTATGTGGCTGAAAGAGCATGTGTAGAGTTGTGTGTGTTGAGTGTGAACTGAGTGCTCTCCTTTAACCAGAAGCATGTTTTATACATATAAATATACACAGTATATATTTTACAGGCCATACAGTGCACATTATATTATTTATACAGCCTTGTCCACTTTGTATTTAAGGGCTCTACAACAATTGCATGTTTGCTTCCAAACTGCTCTATAAAAGTAACCACTTAAACAATAAAGACATGGATGTGCCTTTTGCTTATGTTTTTTGTTGTTTATATGAACAAAAAGAAACTGACAATTACAATTTTTAGTAGTGTTTTCAGCAATTACTAAATGTGACAAACACACGCATAGACTCAGAAACCCAATTTATTTGGTGGTAAAAACATTCCATTCTCTGTTGAACAAGCAACATATCCTAGAACTGATATCTGTCTGCTTTTATAGTTTGTACTGTATTATTAATTCTTTCATAATTAAAACAGAGACAAAGGTTTGGTAACAGCACAAAACAAGAATGTTCACGTTGAAACCTCATATAAAAGCTACTTAAAACACAGCATCGTCCTGAGAAGAACATTGTGGAAATACTTGGCTTGAGTTGCTTTTGCAACGTCATAACAGTATTCGTTGGTATCACATTGGATTGGCGTTTACATTTTAGACAGTGGAATGTTTGAGAGAAATGTGACGTCCGACACCGAGGTAAAAACAATAAAAGCACATTTTAAGGGAAGGTTTACACAAGGTGCGTACATAACTGTTGTACCAGTCTGTCTCACTTAGAGGGATAAACTCAGTCCTCTTTCTTATGGCTGCTTTGTCTTTGGTAGTAAATTACTGTGAGGAGCACCCACATGTTTAACAGGGTCATCACTATGAAGCGCACCAGCACTACACCAGGGAATAAAACACAGAATTAGTACCAGCATGCCTCAAAGGATTATGTAAATGAACAAATTCATAGATGCAAAATCCCATAAATTAGATTTATGATTTATGCTATAATCAATATGCAGACTTACCCAGCATGTCGCCTGTTGTGACGGAAACTGTGTAAATCCGGGCTAAAATGGAAACACTAATTGTTAATGGACTGTATCTTAATAAGTATATTGAGCAGCAGCAGTTTGCAAG